GTTTGGCTTTTGTTTTGCAACAGCTGTTATCATGGATTTCTTTTTTCTCTCTCCTTCTTTCTTTCTTTCTTTCTTTTTTTTTTTTCCTGGTCAGCTGTGATTGCTCCGGGCAAAACAGGAGCAGATGGTGTTTTGCTATGCATGAATGGAGCGTTAGAGGAGTTGGACTGAATAGGCTAAGTTTTGAATGGTGTCTACACAGCACCTGCCTCTTGTAGCAGCAGGGACATCCTAGTGGCATGATCTGTCTTGGCTTTGCTGCCGTCGTAAGGGATGAAAAGAAAGAAGCAAAGGCAGGGGGGAACCTTGTTGGGTACCATCCACGTTTATTGATTTTCTTGCAAAGTCGTGGCATAATGTGGTGTACAGTCAGTTTGAGTTAATTGGATGTGACACAGCATGCACATGTAATCTATCACTCCACTCTCCTGGTACACTTTATCAGTTTTGTTGCCATAGAAACATGTCGGCTCAGTAATAACCTGTATTAACAGGCTAAGTAAGTTGCAATAAAAGGCAATTTCAGAGTTGGGAACCTCTGCAGAACAGAAAGCCCATAAAACACTGATGAAATAAATCGCAGAGTGGCAGCGAGGGGAGGGGAGCGGGAGCTTTTGCATTCTTAAACCAAACAAAGTCCAAATAAAAAGAAACTGCAATCATTTCCATGCAACACAGGGACATCTGTCAACCTCTGGGGCATGATGATCTGTCACAATAAAGAAAGCTTTTTCAGATCGCTGACAGCTTGCTAAGTTTTTTTTTTTTTAAGTGACTGTATAATGCAACAGAGAATAAAGTGTTCCAAATCCATTCGGTCTGCAAAAACTCAACAATGTGCAATAAAAAACCCCGACAAACTCAGGAAAAATAAGCTAAGACAAAACAGGTCATTACTCAGATTTTTTTTTTTTTTTTTTTACTGCTGTTATTGTTGTAGAGACAAGTGAGTATAAACAGTTTTCTTTTTCCTATGGATGTTTATTCCATGACCTTTATGACTGACAGCAGCATAATAGAGATTTGTTTATCAGCTCCATGTCTGGCTTGTGCTTTTATGACGGCATAAAGCTCCTCAAATATATTTAAAGAGCTGAAAAAAAGTCCAGTTTTAGTGTTTATACCCCTCAAACCCTTTTGCATTTTGTCATAGCAACCTCAAACTTTGAGGTGTTTTAGAAGGATTTTATGTGATAGACAAATACAAAGTAGTGCATAACTGTGAAGAGGGGTGAAATGATGGCTAGTGAGCCAAAAAAATTATATCCAGTCCCCATTATTGACTAAATACAATATGTTGCAGCCAGAGGCTTTTAAAAGTCTCATACACATAGTAAATATAAACATCATATATAAACCTCAGCTGTTCTTGGAAAGCCACAGCAGTTTGCATTATTTACCAAACAGAACCATGCAGATCAGCAAGGTCTGTAATTGGATTAGGTTACAGAACAATGTCTGAACCACTGCAGCGTTTTAGTCAGTTTTTGTTTTTACTAAAAACAGTAAAAGAGTATAGCACAACTGCATTACCAAAGTCTGGGTAAATGTGGAAGATAAAACTGGACTATATGCAAAAAAAAAAACTAGAAGTGGAGCTAAAACAACACCGCACATCTCTGTAAATACACAGTGCCCACTTTGTAAATGCAGTTCTTAAGTAGCAAAAAGAGCTGGTCAGAGTTGATGGTAAGATAAGTGCTGCCAAAAGGAAAACTTGCAAGAGGCAGCAAAAAATTTGAGCCAAGTGTAGTTGTATTCAATAAACTGGGATATTATTGTAAATATAACTTATTTTAGTCGCCTGGTTCATGAAGTGAAAGACATCATAGAGATTCTTAACATAGACTGATGTTTTCCAAGCCTTCATTTGTTAATTATGATGATTTTCCACTTCCACAGCTAGTGGATACTTGACATTTAAGATAAGAATATCATATCAGACCAAAAACAAATTTAAAATTGAGAAATGTGGACGTAATAAAAAAGTATATTTATACTGCTTAAAAGATGTTATTTTCAAAAGGCACTTTTAATCTGACAATCTCCCTCCTCGCAAGGCATGTTCTAATTTATTCAATATGACTGTATGTTGATGTGTTTGAGGAGTTGAGTCATTCTAACACATAAATCCAATTGAGAATCTGTGTCAAAACACACTCCATCCACTCTGACTGACTTAGTTATTTTGAACAGAAGAGCTGGCAAAGCTGGGAGAGACGTAAAGCTCCTAGATGCAATTATGAAAAAGTCCAAGCTGCATAAATACTTTTTGGAACGTTCTGTATGTCTTCGCATGAGCTAAACACAAACTAGCATCTGTTTCCATCCCGTCCTGATGAACGCATTCTGTTAAATCATTTACTCCCATCAGAACAGAAGATTAGTCATTAACAGCCGACTAGCAGAACACGGACTGTTTCTATGTGTGACGTATCAGGCTCACCTGATGGCAGTTCAATAAAAAGGTTGAATCAGTCCATCTGGTTTCTGGGCAAATAACCAAGGAAATAAAAATATGAGCAGCATTTTCAAACACAAATAATGCGTAGCAATCGGGTGAGCTTTAAATCAGCCATCCCTCTCTATGCAAACTTGCAGCTGTTTGTAATGAACAAATCAAACAAGAAGAGTTTAAGTATTTCAATACGTCTAATATTGCAAATGCAATCAAAAAACAGCATCTAACTGCAATTGATCATATTTATTGATACACCATCAGTGGACAAAAATGGTAAAAGTAACAATCCCGACAGTCTCTTAGGGGGTTTTAAACATCACTGTTGCAACAATGATGAATGCAAATCTTCATGAAACACAAGACAATCATAACAAGAAAGTAGCCTCACGACAAATGATCAATGACGAGATGTTGCCCACCCTTAAATAGAACCATCAAACCTATACAACCAACCTCTAAAGTTTTGAGAAAAACTCTGTGCGCCTTTGGGTCAGTAGATGGGTGCATCCTGGAGTTCAGACTACAGTGATTGCCTTACTGTGGAAACTGAAACCTGTCATGTCAAGTCTGCAGTTTATGGCCACCAGGAATCTGCCTGCAGTTTTGTTTTATCCTCTACTCTACTATAAACTTCAGCTGTATTTCCTGATAGATGATTTTTTTTTTTTTAGCACCCCGTTTCTACAAGGCATCGAGCTCTTCTCTGAACTTTTGGGACAATTATTTTGACATTTAATCATGATATGAAACCTTATAGTCAACAGCTCAGGTATTTGTGGCGTTTTGTCATGGCAACAACTATAACCAATGAAGGACTTCATTAGATGCATCAACTGATTCTAATAATATTCATATGTTTGCTCATATAAGAAATTTTGTGTAATCACCTTGAGACTGCAGTATTAATTGAAGTTATGATTTAGTTTTGAATTTAAAAAATAAAGAACTTTAGGATTAGCTTGTTCTTAATTTATTAATTGCAAACACCTGAGTGATTTTCCTCTGAACCTAATTTGCAGCAGGGGTTCAATGACTTTAGGTTTGTGATCATTAGGGTATAAAAAGTAAATTGGCTATTTAGTGATTTTTATTTTGCCGGTTATTATGGAGGGGGGGAGGTGGAAATTGGCTTAATTAAAAAATATATATATCTGCTCAAATGAAGAGAAAACATAGCAGCCTCCAGGAATAATGTATTTATTTATTTACATGTATCTAAACTCAAGTGAATTTGCTGCTAGTTTTGCTCTGACGCTGCAGCTGCTGCTCCTTCAGCCTGACGGGTCAAAAGTTCTCTAAACAAACTTCGACACGTCAAGGATGTCAGCAGTTCAGCAGCCTAGCAGAGCCCACAACAACACAGCCCACCCCCACCTAATAAACAATGTTTACTATTCATCTCAGAGGTCAGGAGCTCTCTCTGTGAAGATCACCACCACAAGGTCAAGAATTCCTTAAATGTAGTCGAGCATTTGACTGCAGCTTTAATTTCTTCTTGTTAAGTGGGCCTGACATTGGGCTTTCAGGGTCGGATATCTCGGCACCGAGCCGCGGTCGGAGCATAAAGACGCTCGGGTTTTGTTGTGCTTCTCTTAAGTTGATGCTGTCGAATCAATCCCAGCGTCCGGCTCTGCATCTGTGGCCAGACACGTGAGAGGGGCTGCAGTGTGGGCGCGATGGTCAGATGGTCAGTGTCAGCCGGCTTTTGTTCCACTTGCATTGTATCTGTGCAGTGAACGGGAAAACAACAAAGGAGCCAAATAAATCATTAAAATACACAATCCCTCAGCTTCCACATCTGACTCCTTAGTCATCCTCGGCACGGTGCCGAACAACTGACCTCAGCGGGAGAGAGGGGGACAATTAGGTCACTTCATGATTGCATTACTCAAATGACACATTAATGTCATGGTGCCCTTCATGCGTTTCATCAGCGTTGGTTAATGATGAGGACAGGAAGAAAGACGAGTGGAGGATATTGATTGCTTCATGTTTCTATGATCATATTGCTTTGGGAAAAGAAAAAATAAATAAAAGTGTACCACATACTATAGGGGGGATTTATTTATTCACCAATTCAAATTACCACAAGCTCCATTACAGGAGGAGCAGTGTATTATTCTTGTGAATGGTGTGTGTGGATAACGGTGTTTTGAAAATATATGTAACCTTTTTATTGCACAGTCCCATAACTCCAACCCTGGCTGTGAGATATTTGTACACACAGTGACCGCAGTACTGAGGGGTTATGGAATAACAAGGAGCAGCATGCATTATTAATGGGCTCTGCTGTGAATCTGTTCAGAATAATAACAGCGATTTCCCAGAGCCTCATTACTGTGTGTTTTTAAAGCGTGTGTTTGGTATCCATGGACACCCGCTCTCACATTCTCCTCCTCTTCCCTCTCCCACCCTCCTCTCTCTCTTTCTCTCTCTCCATTAGGATTCAGGTCATGCAAAGCACTTGCTGTTTTTAATTTTCATTTCATCATAAGCACTTTAAGACTGTTGCCAGTGCTTATTTTCTGCTTTCCCGCAGACCTCTTCACTCGGGCTTCTGACGGGACAGATGCAGCAATTAATCACGACAGCGAAACGGGCGTCATTTCCATCCCGAGCTGGAGAGCCCGTCGCTGCGGTGGTGGCGGCGACGGCGGCGGCGACGACGGGCCTCGGTTCCAGGTCCCAAACACTTCCCTGAAAGCTGACTAATTGAAAACAACGGAAAAATTTTATGTTCACCAAAGCTGCTATCAGGAAAGCTCGGGAGTAAATTCTTGATCTAATTTGAACTACCATTAACCCATGTTTAAAATCTCTCCACTGCTGTGAAGGAGGAGAAAAGAAGGGTCTTCTCTTGGCCAATGGATTCACAGCCTATTGTGCAGATATGATAATTATTGTTTGCCTGCCTTCCCTCCCCCGCACACCATTTTATTCAAGGGAGCTCAGCAAACCCCTGGGGATGTCTTGGAAATGGAGCGATTTTGAAGGGACTAAGAAAGGCAGAATCCAATGCACTGGTGTGTGAGAAGGGGGACTGTTATTGAGACAAGTGCCTGTTTACATGCTGACCTCGTCCAGCGCCAGCTCTGTTCCTACACACGGCTACAACACACGTCCAGTTTAAAACACCGAGAAACGCAGAGCAGCACAGTGAAGACGGCATGAATGCTTATGCGTCATTTTCAACGATTCCGTTTTAAATGAAGCCCTAATACAAAAACATACAGATATTTTTCTCACATGCCTCTTGATCAACTGAGAATGTGTATGATGGCTCACAGACATACTGCTTCCCATTTAACGATTTTTCACATTTTGAGGTTTCAACCACAGACTTTTTTTTTTTTTACACAAATTAGGTAATGATTATGAAGTGTAGTTTTTAGTCCTCAACATCTGAAACAATTGTGTTGCATATGCATTCAGCTCCTCTGTAGAACCACCTTTAAATGCTATTAGATGCACACTATAGTCTCTAACAGCTTTGCACATATAGAGACTGAAATTCTTGCCTGTTCTTGTCAAAACAGACCAAGCTTAATTTTGCCATATGTTCTTGATGAGATTTAGATCTGGACTTTGACTGGACCATTCTAACACATGAGGGATCTTCAATCTAAACCATTCCACTCTGTCTGGCTCAGTCTGAAGTCTTTAGCAGTTTATCTTGTGGTATTGAAACTTTGACCAAATTCCCAAGCTGAATAAAAAAGCAACCCCACAGCATTATGCTGCCACCATGATGTTTCAAAACATTCAAGATTCAGAGCTACTTTATTGATCCCAAAGGGAAATTAAATAATCACTGCAGGGATTGTGTTTTTAGGGTGATGAGCAACGTTAGCTTTCCTCAACACGTTTTTTTACATGTAGACCAATGACTTGAGTTTATCCAATCATCTACAGTCACATGTTTGTTGCTTCCTGCAACATAGCATGCAGGTAACTACAAATGAGATTTCTAATGACTTCCTTCTTTACACTGCGTCATAAAGTTATGATTTGTTAAGTTGTACTACTAATAGTTGTCAACAGATTTTCGTGTGCAGCACTAGAAGAGTAAATAAGGAATTATCCTGTATTCTATTCTATATGGCCATAGGTTTGTAGTGGTGTGATACTTTCTCTGTTGCTGAAAGATGTATATAACTCTTTTAAATTTTATAAAACTTGATATTGTTTTATAACCTAACCTGTCTTCTTGGATTACAATATAACAAAACATGAAAAAAGTTTCATTATTATTAAAAAAATAAAAAAGCATTTGCAAGGTATTATAATCTGTTTGCATTTCGTAGCTAACAAGGAGATGTAAAAGCATTTTATAGAAATGAAGGCCTAAAAAAAAAAACTGATTCTTCCGAATAAATATTTGATTGATATTTTAATTTTAAACAGAGACACAAAGAAATATATAATACTTCATACAAAATTATGGCTACGATCATATTAGTGATGGAATGTCTCTGGAATCGTCTTCATGGCTGCGCAAAAAACTCCAACATTAAATTACGTTTCCTACTTTAAGCTGCAAACATCTTCTTTTTTTTTTTTTCTTCCAAGAACTCCATACCAATATGCATTTATCCTAGGGACAGTTTTCAACTGTACTTGGTTTGTAAGCAAAATACAAAGAAAATTAATTGCTATTGGAACTCATAAAAAAAGTATAAAAGAGCAGAAATGCACTATGTGATACAGCAATCCACATGTCATTAAAACAATGTTTTAATTAAAGCCTCACATATTAAAACTTTACAACAGGTGATATGAAAAAATTTACATTTTCTTTTTTCCCTCGTGGACTTTTGTACAACTGGCAAACAAACAAACAAAAAAAATCCCACAAAAACAAACTGCAATATCTTTTGAGTTGGCTTTGGCAGTGCAACAAACTGGCTCTGCAGTATTTTTCCATCAATGTCTGTTGGTAAGCAGAGTAAAAATACAAGGATCCTTAAATCATCTACCTTGATCCAGAAATCTGTATTTACCATAAAATATCCCCTTTCTTACGCATAATAAAAAAAAAACATAATTTAACTGTTATATATTTGACATAAAAACAATAAGATTAATTAAAGAAGAGTTTTTTTTTTTTTTTTTGGATGGGTAAAGGGTGGGAAAAGCCAGTTACACACTTTTGGGCAAATCGTCTGGAGGGTGAATTGCTGCAAACAGGAGATCTCGTCTCTCCCCTCTCTACAAAACATGTACAGCAGATTACAGCTACAGTTTGATGGTGTGATGACATAAATGATTTATGGCAGTTTCTGTCTCTGTCAGTTCAGTCATTCATCCAGATAACTGCTTCCAAAGACCTTTTATTTCCAGTTCTCTTCATTCTTCAAAGACATTGTCTGCTTTTGTGACATAGCTTGAAAGTGTCTAAATATCACCGAGCCACCTTCCCGTGTGATGACTTGAACAGTTAGATCTACAAGAAAGATGGAGGAAAGAAAGTCTTGTACATACTGGCCAGTGTGGGAACAAAGACTTGATGTGTGGGTTCCTGGTTTCCAGCGAAGATCTAGTGAGTCACTCAGTCCAAGCAAGGAGTGATAAAAATGTTTTCCAAATATCCCCGCGCTGTGCTGATCTCACATCTCTGGCCTCATAAATAAAGCTTTATTGTTAAATAAAATAGTGGGAGATAAACGTCTTTCAGCATTTTGTGAAGCCGGTCGGTTCAAATGAACAACTGAAAGACGTCACACAAAACGACCACTGGGCGCTCAGCCTGACAGGCTGTTGTCAGTTCTCAGCCTATTTCATAGACAAAACCCCCGGCTAACACGGTGACCCCCCTGTACATGTATGTGCATATCTGTCTACAACAATAAACAGGTTCTTTATATAACATTCTAAATTTTACACACTTCTTAAGTGCAACTTAGAAAAGCAACATGGAGTGATGCTTTTATTCTATTCCTGTTCTTTGAGATAGGATTTCCATTTGGCTCAGTAGATGCTGACCTGGGAGAGGACCTGTGCGTGGGCCTGGATTTGGGAGGGGTGGGGATGTTGCTGAGGGGCCGGCTGTGGACTACCAAGAGATGCGGAGCCTCCCACTGAATGTGGCGTACCAGGAGAGTGCTGCGGTGGAGAACACTGCGACTGGTGCTGCTGTTGCTGCTGCTGCTGCTGCTGGAGATGTTGAATCTGCTGCTGATGCAGTTGATGCTGCATTTGCATGTGCTGCATTTGCATGTGCTGCTGCTGCTGCTGCTGTTGTTGCTGCTGTTGCATGTGGTGCTGCTGCAGCTGTTGCTGGAGGTGGTGCTGGAAATGCTGATGCTGCATCTGTTGCTGGATCTGTTGGTGGTGCATCTGCTGCTGCTGCATTTGATGGTGCTGGAGGTGCTGTTGCATCTGTTGCTGCTGCTGCTGCTGGAGCTGCTGCATGGTGTGCTGCTGCACTGATTGCATGGGTGGGCTCATCTGAGACACGGCTGTGGACTGAGCGCCCGCCGCCATGGGCCCACCGGCACCCATCTGGCCCAGCAGCTGCTGAGGCATCCCGGAGGACATGTTCTGGTGGGAAACCGTGACTGAAGTCACGACATGGCTGCCCCCTAGTCTCATCTGCAGAGGCTTTGGGGCAATGGCCCGCGGCAGTGCTTGCTGCAGGGCCTGGGAAGCCGACGGCATGGCAGGGTGCTGGTTGTGGGGCGTGGGCAGCACCAGGCCGGGGGACAGACTGGTGGAGGCCAGGGTCTGCTGAACGGTTCGGATGGTTTGAGCTTCAGCTGATTCTGCTGCAGCCTGGAAAAAGTGAAGAAACATGAAGGGTAGTAACTAGTTACATTTATTTGAGTAACTTTTCTGGAAAAAAAAAAAATTACTTGTAGGAATATTTTTTACTACGCTGTACTTTTTACTTTTACTTGAGGAACTTTATTATGATGTACACTCTACCCGCTGTGAGTAACTTCCCTGAATGATGAACAAACTTGCCAAAATCAAATCTCTTCTTTGCTAAAAGACAATTTAAGCAAAAAAAAAAAAAAAACTTTGGAGAAAAAATGATTTGGGTCATTATTTTACAAAAGTGACAATATTTTACTCTCTCTGATTATGTAATTTTTAAATATTAAAGGATTTATGTTGTGATCTATTACTCATTAGTTGAGGAGCTTATTTTTAACCAAATACATTTTTTTACTTGAGTAACTTCTTGAATGGCTACTTTTTACTTGTGTAAAAAAAAATTGAAGTAGTGCTATTCTTACTTGAATACAATTTTGGGTACGCTACCCACAAGTAAAATATTTCTTTGTTAAATACATTTCTGAGGTAAACAAACAAAGAGTTCTCACCTTGGAGACCAGGCTGGCACGGTAAGCAGCGAGGGCCTTTAAGTATTCCTTCTTGGCAGCTTCTGTTTTACTTTTGTAAACCTTTAAAGAGACAGAAGCGGGTCTAAATGAGTAAAAGATGTAGATATGTTCAGATGACGAAATCTATATTTTACAATACCTGCTTCTGTTCCTCTCCAAGGCCGTCCCACATTGAGGCTACAATCTTGGACACTTCGCCGAAGGTAGCGTTGGGGTTCTGACCTTTGATTGCAGCCTGGGTGTCTCTGAAGAACAGGGCATAGGCAGAAACCGGCTTTTGGGGCTCATTGGGATCCTTCTTCTTTTTCTTTTTAGGAGTCTTGGGCTTCTTTGTGGGATCGATTGGGGCTGGCCGCTTCTCCCCAATAACCTTAAATGAAAGAAAAGTTTGAAAAAAAAAAAAAACAAAAACAAAAAAACAGATAAAGTTGGGAAAATAGGTTCTCACACCACTGTGCATTCGTTGCCTTACACTTATGCCACGTTACACTGGTTTTTCAATAAGCCACTGAACGTGGGAAGATACTCACCCTGTTGCTGTCCTCCTGGTCATCTTCGTTGATGGAACTGGATGGAGACGGCGTGGCTGACTTGCTGGCAGGGGGCGATGGTGATGTGTGGTTGATGTTGGGTCCAGCCATGTTCAAACTCAGCGGTCCGTTGAGCTGCGATTGGTTGATGGTGGACAGCTGATTCCGTGACATCATGCCATTAGGACTGTTCATGCTAATGATGGACTTCATGACCATGGATGGGTTAGATGGGTACTGACGCAGATGACCGGGCCCAACATTCTAGAAAAAAAAAAAAATAGACAGGGTAAGATAAGAAGATAATACTGTCTTTAAACTTAAAATGTTTTTCTAAAGACAAAAAATAAAAACCAAACAGCTGATAACCAAATCAATATGAAACCGATCTGCTTTAATGCAATGGAAGCATTCCTAAGTTATGAATAACATGTAAGGAAAGCGCCACAGATTCAATCAAATTTAAAAATTGTGACTTGGAGCAGAACAACGAACCTTTGGATGAGGGAGGCAGTGGTTTTCTATCTCAATAAAATAGCTGAGCTTGCCAGAAGAGACCCGCAAGAACCTAACCCAATATTCTGTGTAGGTAATATGTTTATCTTGCTAACCCACTGGATTAAAAGGTTAAGGTTTGATGGTCTGTTTTAAGTCAGTGACCTTAGTCGAGGTATGGAAAACCTAGCTCCAAAAATTGCATATGGATTATCAAGTCATGTAGACCATGTAGACCCTTACTCAGTTGAACTTGGACAGGTGGTCTCTATGAACCAACTTCAGTTGTAATAAATATTGGGGAGGACTGAATAATGTTGAATTTACAAAAAGTGAGAATTAGCACCAATTTTAACTTGATAAAAGAAGATGCAAGTCTTTCTCCACTGCATTTGTTTTTTTTTTTTTGTTTTTTTTTCAGGAATGCTTTGTTGAGGTTATCATAAAAAACAATAATTTTTGCCCAAGCATGATAACCTACAAGATTGACAAAATTGATTTCAAGTAAAGTAAATGATCTGCATAAAGAGGAACCTGATACAGATTCTGCAGATAGTAAAGCATTTTGTGTCATTGCAGTTATTACTAATGTTCCTGATGTGCCTTGATTTGTCTGTACCAAGACCCATCTCTGAGCTCAAGCTGTACTCGGTGTAACATCCTCCTGCACAAACTCATCAACCTGTTTCCCTTTTCCAGAACTGAAATTGGGTCATTCGATTCTGTGGATTGCTATGTGGAAGATCTCATGTCAAGATGTCCTGACTCTTAAATGTCTCTTACAAGAAATGATAAATTATCCTGACAAATAAGTATTGGATGGCCACCCAGCTCAGTTCTTGGTTAAATCACAGCTCAGGGCTTAGA